TGGGGCCAACTCGTTTTGGTAATCGGCTAGCACGTCCAGATCAGAAAGCTTGGCAACGTCAAGCTGTTTGTATCTAATCTTTCTGCGGCCACCAAATCGAGGAGACAACTTGGCACAAACCAGTGCGTGGTCGCAGTCCAAGCAGGTAGACCAATACGAACGGTGGTCTCTCACACATCCTCTCCATCTATAGCTAATAGCTATTGTGACAATCGGAATAGTACTGTAGAAATACGAGAACCCGTAATGTACTGCTCAGAACTGAATTGGCTCCAATCCGAAATGCGGACAGCAATGAAATACACGAGGAATCGATGGCACCAAATGCTTATGTTCATGGATGGAATTAGATCATGTTTTATAGAATGTAATAGTCCATATGGTTGGTTGAACGAGCATCCTCCAATTAACCGTTTGCACCGACGCATCATATGTTCTGACTCGGATGTCATGTTCGCCCAGTGTACCATCTATCCCCATTATCTGAACGGTAGTTGTCAAGGCCATGATGGCCACCCGATGGGTCTCATCGGGCGACAGACGTCCAACGCGTGCGTTTATGTCTCCGGTCAGAATCACGATATCTGTCTTCGGTGAATTTTTATTACACACAGTGTAATGAACAGCAGATGAGGTTAACCCAATAGTCACGAGGACCTGCTGTTCAATGGTGGAAACCTGCAACTTAAACTCCGAGAATTGGAGTGGTGGACCACATAAGGCCCCGATAGGTTAGGTGTGGTATTGAACCGAACGGCAGCAGAGCTGCCTACCACCAAAGTAGAAGCTCATTTAGATTGTGACAAAAGACATATTTGACTATATCCGGGGTACAGTCCGAGGGAAGCGTATATAGAAACCACGAATAAGCACCGTCCGTTTTGTTTCTGCTTTTCGAATATACCTGAGTCTTTGAATCGAACTGCGCGTAGTCGGTTATCTATCGGGATCCAGTCCAATAAACCAGCTTCGGCCCTGGTGCTTGAGGCAATACCGATACCTGCTTGGCCAGACGCTGATGCGATAGGGTCCCCGGAAGTAAGTAGTAAAAGCGCTTCCTTCAGATCGGAAGGAGACGTTAATCGGATCACTGAGCTCGGATCCTGAATGCGTGTTTCCGACAGGCAACACATCAATCTCTAGACTTTCGAACGCAAAAACAGACGTGGTCCGTTGTTGGAGAAACGTTTCAATCCAATTGAGCATAAGGCCTCGATTGTCTTCATCATATGGCTTTTGCAATGGTACCTAGTGGTTCACATGGTCGAAAGGTCCAGATGCATCACTGTCCTCTGCTTGATGCTCGTGTTTATTCATTTTGGAAAAGAAGCAGCTTGATAGCACAGAATGTTTTTTGATGGAACCCAAGACGAGCTGACGAAAGAACGTTTTATTCTTCTATGTGACTAAAACTCGGGGAGGAATGAGGTGCGACACCGTCTGTGAAATCAGCATGAAACCCACGAACCAATTGTATCTACTGAAATAGAAGTGTATCAAGGCTGAGTGAAAACTAGATCAATTTTGCACATTCTACAGAATTCCAAATGTAGATAGCGGTCTCCGGTAATTTACTTGCTCCGATCCCTCCATCTGTACAATGTACGACCGAAAACACGTTCATATATCATTCTAAATCTCAAGACCCTCGATGAGCATCATTCCGCTTCAAAAATGTGTGACTGACATGTTGCGGTCTAAGAACTTTACTACAGGTCATTCACGGAGAGAAATAGCCTTATTGAACATCACTATCAAAACATTGGAATGAATCTTTTTTGACATTTGAATTGTCAGAATTGTGTTTGAAATGTCCAACTTAGGTTGCTGGATCCAATCTAACATACACACATTCTATCCATCCTATTGTTTTCAAGGAATCGTGTCAGGCAAATGAATTTCCTGGTCATTTACACGGCTATTGCTTGGTCTTCCTTGGCTATTGTGATCATGATACCGCTCCCGATTCTGCCCTACATAGCATATACAGCGATATCACTCCAGGTAAGTGGACAACCACTACTATCAAATTACGGAACGTGCCCAATCGTTCAATCCGACAACATTGTAGGTATGAACATGTTTCCGGTGAATGTATTCTCAAGCAGTTACAATCAGAACTATGTGACCAGAAATTGGACAGTGTCAAAGAAACAAAGAGAGTGTGTGATGGGTCGTGTTGTGCCGTAGTGAGTCAAAACTGCTACAGATTGATGCGCCGCTCCTGCTGTCTGTGCAATGCGGTACATACGAAATTGAACCAAAGAATAGAAAAACTGCCTCCCTTTTTTGGATGTTCATCCGACTGGACGCTCAGATGATTTTATTTTGAGAGAAACATACCGAGACTGGATGGGCAGCATATAAATCTGCAGCCCCTCTATCAAAAACGTAACTTAGTGTGTGATATATTACAGATATCGAGGTATATCTTTTCAGAAGATACTATGAAACACGATTTTGTACTAGTGAAGAACATCTTAACGCAAAATGGACAAACGGAGAATTTTACCTATCATAAAAGAATTAAGTAGGCTAAACCAAAGAAAACTGGCTATCATAAAGCATGTTGAAACTGAGAGCTATTAAAAATCTATGTACTGCAGTGGAATCCGCTTTAATGTTGTCAACCTAAAATGCAGGTTCTCTACATCACCAAACATCTGATTTCATAAGAAGGATAAATTGCTTGTGAACCACCTTGTCTACCACTCTTAGTGCATTCATGATGCCACATATCAGGGTATGACGAAAAGTCGACTCACAAAAAGCCACAATTTACGCCAAATGATGAATCCGGCGAGAGCTATACTGTTTTAGACGTTAGCGAGGGTGGAGGCCATAGTCGCGAAGACCTGATATTCATTGATAAAGACCGGAAACCTAAGCCCCGGAACTTTGAGTAATGAACTACGTAATGCCCACTAGGTTCGGAACCGGACTACAACAAAGCTGCCTGCCACCAAAGTTGGGTGACGGTACTCAAAACTACTGTGGTTGAAGGAAGATAAAATCGCTCGTGTGTATGGTGCTACCCTCAAGTAGTTTATGTGGATTACATAATCCAAACACCTCGCTGACCCGAGGTGGTTTTGATTCGGTACTTCTCACGTGATTTCTATCTCTCCCACTGTGTCCGTTTCCGACGCTGTCGGATTTTGCTTCATACATTTGTGACGGTAAATGTTTGAGAGAATTCACCTGCCCTAAGTGTTCTGAGCGACTTCTTTTCTTGAAGCACTGAATTACCTCTATTCATTTTTTGGGAATGAAACAAGACAGAAATCGCGGAATATGCGCACTACCACTCCACCTATCTCCCTCACTCACTCAGTCTATACAACCCCCTAGTTCCTATTCCGTGATCCGGGTTTCATTATGCTTTTTCAGCTACCAGTTTTGATTAACATTATAAAAAAGTGTGATACGGACGACGGGATAAGATGGGAGTATATCAGAAAGGGATTAGATGCTAGTTTATCATCTGATCTTGCTTGGTATTCCACCAACTATACCCCTCTTCTTCACCTTATACAGATACATTGCAGCCAACACAATTCATCCGGCGGAATGTGTAACAGGTCTTAACCACAGTTGGGTTAGGAATACACGCAAGTGATCTTGTCCCAATGAAAAATCAGACATACACATTTCAAATCAGAAATTGATAATCTGCATTCATCCTTTACCCGTTAGGTCTATGGTTCTGTAACATATACAGCATAGATCAGACCTCTACAGCATACACTCGCCTCTGCACAAATAGTTCAGTGTCAGGACAGAAGAGCCCTTTGGATGCGCCGTGGTACAATACGCTTTTGTAAAACAACCAATCGTCTCAGGGTCAACGAAATTCACTGTTTAAATGATGTTAGGAATGTATCGAAAAATCGATGCGCCATGCGTTGTTTTATTGTGAATGGTAATGTAATAGTGGTAATAACACTATAACATTACCATTCGAAATTCACTGTTTATTTCAGCCAGTTCTGAAAATACTGACTTGGATTAACTGGAGTGTGAAATGAAGGAACTGAATTAAAGAAAAATAATGCAGATTCATGCGCGAGAGTGGAGATGGAGAATAAGTAACTCATATTTATCTCTTTCTATCCCACCCCCTACCCCAAAACGCCTCGATAAACAGGGCACCTTTGTTTTCTTAGCCCTTGGTCTGGATGACGTGGATATTTTGAACTTCTATCGTGGCCGCAAAACCGGGTACGCAATGGCTGCAAAAGAACGAAAGTCACCATGTGCACCGCGGAAGGAAAAATTGCAATACTTTGGAGAAACAGAGGGTGAGTACACATTGAGCGAGGCAAAAACCAGTTTGGATCAGATCAACGAACAGCAACAGAACTACATGAATGAAGACAGTACGACTAATAGAATACACAAACGGGGAAAAGGAAAAAAACGAACCGGGAGTGACTGACTAGACAAACAAACACACTGTGCGGGTGGTTGAAAATACCTGGGATCGTTCCAAGAACGAGAAACATCATTTGCACCGTACGTGGAAAACTCAATCCTCCTCCCACTGTCCACAATATACGACATCGTTCTGGATATTATCAACAGCGAAAATTCGCCCGACCCAATTTCCTTCGCTATCACTAAACCAACCAATCATTTTGACAGTTTACTGGACTGCTTACTGCTGCTCATTGCTCATCATTGAATGACTGACAGTCTATCTGTAGTTCTCTCCCCACTCCCCCAAAAGAGTCTTCATAATTCTCTATTCAGAGGGTTTACCCATTTTCAAATTAAATGTCACTCACAGATTATTTCCCCCATCATTTCAATGTGAATTTGTCGAGTAACTTTGGAGTTTTCCTTCATTACTTACCGTAAACTGCTTCACTAACAACAAGATCAAATGGGAAACAATGAGAACGAAATCGAACAGAAAATCACCTAGTGCCAAACAAGGAGATGTCTCGTTTAGGATAAATGGATGGTTTCGGTAAATAAAGGTTGAGGTAGATATCTGTTCTCGGTGTGAAGGTTACAAACAGAAATACAACCGAGAACAGCCCATTACCGAAAGAACCAATTTGACCTAACGGAAAAGTAAGATATGAACCGTCGGAAACGATACATTTCACATCGGTCATAACGAATGAGCCATTGATTAAAAGACGGACCGAGGATCTGTTTGATAAGACCAACACGTGGATAGATATGCTCATTCCAAGTAGTATTATCATGGACTGTGAGGAACACCCGCAGAGAGGACTCGGCAGTTTCATTTGCACAAGTATAGAGTGCACGAATTCATCTTCGAAACACTGCCCAACTCCCTTCTATTTCGATAGACATTTAGAATGTACACCAACTGAGGTGATAAGC